GGAGAGAGAGAGAGAGAGAGAGAGAGAGAGAGAGAGAGAGAGAGAGAGAGAGAGATTCTGCAACCAATCTGAAATGAATATCTGCAATCGATCTGGATCAATATAAGATTTCAATCTGCTGTCGCAAGGATATGGATCTGATATCAATCTGAGACACAAACTTAGGGTGCAGTGTGAAACCTCAGGACGAGTGTCGAGGTACTTGACTCCTGTGGTGCATCTCCTGTGTGTCTTGGTGTATTGACGCCTAACAGGTCTGCAAGAGCTTGATCTTGAAAGCAGCTGGTCTGCAACCTGATAGTGGAATCGATGTTGATGTGCGGTCGATAAGGCGATGGACAATGAATGCCCAAGTTGCAGAGAAGTATATTTGTGGTGATGAAAGAGTTTTCCTAGTCGGTGATGCTGCACACCAGTTTTCACCTGCTGGGGCTTTCGGTAAGCGAGCACACTAAGTCCACAAGCTGATACCGCCGCCATGGCCTCTGACACTGGCACGCCGCAAACTGATCTCGCTGTGTTGTTTTAGGCACCTGCCACCGGACAGACCGTCAGACAGACAGACACAGACAGACATCCAGTCACGGGGATGTGGGCGGCTGCCTCTCAACCACAATCAACGTGGCCAGCCTTGCAGGTGCTACGCATCGTAAAAGAGGAGCTGTTGCCCAATAGAAACCCCAGCTAAGCACAGTTCTGAATGGTTCTATTATGATTCATATTGCTTGCTAAAGAGGTGAAATTGTTTAATTGTTGGCCTGTCTCAACTCGAATCTACTCATCTGGGTGGAATATGGGTTGTTGTGGTGGAAATTTAAAACACAGACACTTACACACACACACACACACACACACACACACACACACACACACACAGAGAGAGAGAGAGAGAGAGAGAGAGAGAGAGAGAGAGAGAGAGAGAGAGAGATTGTTCACTGCAATATGTAATGCCTCACTTAGTGAGTGTTTATTAGCTGTTGTCATCACTGCAACTGCCACACAGACAAACTGATACCACTGCTCTGCCACAACACTTGAACCACCAGCACCTTACCGGGCCAAAATGGCTGGCACTGCCAGCCCAAAAAGGAAAATGTGTGCTGCTGGCAGTTCGTTTTTCTTGGTGCACAGTAGGCAAATTCATGTCGGGGAAAAAGAGGCTCGGAAGCACTGGTGGTTCGTAGCACTGCTACTGCCACTCACACAAACTGATATCACTTCTCTGCCACACAAACAAAGTGATATCACTGCTGTGCGACACACTTAAAAAGTTAAGAATTAAAATGATATCACTGCCAGACATTTGATAGCATCTCGACTCTCGAGCCAACGGGCAGGGCCCTTTTTTTTCTTTTTTTTTTCCCTCTCCCAAGGGGCAGGGATCTTTCTGTCCCTCCGTCTGTTTCCCTTCTTGGTTTCTTTTTCAGACTTATTTGTTTACCTGAGCAAATGTACAAAATGAGAATGAATCTTCCGCTAGAACATGAGAAGATATATGGCCACATTTTTTCTCTCCTGTCCATGTGGTGAGTAGTGGAGCAAGGCCCTTGTTCCAATGGTTGCCGGTTCATAAGGTATGGACTGAACACCCCCCGAACCGAAGTGGCATGTGTGGTGCGGTGTGTCAAAAAAAATGTAAGAACAGAAGTGGCATGTGTGGTTGCCGATGCATAAGCTACGGACTGAACGTCCGTTTATTCCATCCATTCCGTCCTTCCTTCCTTCCTTCCTTCCTTCCTTCCTTCCTTCCATACTTCGTTCCTTCGTTCGTTCCTTCGTTTGTTCCTTCATTCTCTCCTTTGTGCGTTCCTTCGTTTGTTCCTTCATTCGCTCCTTTGTTCGCTCCTTTGTTCGTTTCTTTGTTCGTTCCTTCGTTCGTTCCTTCGTTCGTTCCTTTGTTCGCTCGTTCTCTCGTTCGCTCGCTCACTCACTCGTTCGTTCGTTCGTTTGTTTGTTCGCTCGTTCATTCGCTCGTTCGTTCGTTCGTTCGTTCGTTCGTTCGTTCGTTC